AAAATTAATATTTAACAAGACAAACTCAGCTCAAATGAGCTAGCCATGACATCACTCCTGCCAACAGCATCTGTAGCATTCCAGAAATACATCCCTGCCTCCTCAGCCAAGCTGAGACACCAGCTTCACCAGATGGGGGGAAAAGTGGCACGAAAAAGGTGATACTGGTGATTCCTAGCTCCTGCGGGAGCAGAGAGCAGGTTTAGCCATTGGCCAATTAACACAGGAAGCTAATAAGAGGGCACAAGAGTGGAAAGAAACCTGCAGCTGTTGGGGGGCAGGAGAAGCAGCTTGTTTTGGGATCACACTAGGATGAGCTGCCAAGGAGAGGAGGATCGTCCTTAGGTTTTAAATCATAGTATTGCAGGAGTTGTGACCACGGGAGGGGAACACTGGACAGGCCTTCCTCCTGTACAGCTGCATACCTTTTTACTGTACATTTCAGAGGAAATGAGAACGTTTTTACATTAATTAAAGGAGAGGGGGTGGAGGGGACTTTTTAGAAATAATATAGGAAATCAGGGCAAAGTTTTATGGTTGGAGTTAGTGAGATGCATTCTAGGAAAAGATCAGGAGCACAAAGCAACTGAAATGTAGCTGCTAGGCTGGGAACTGTGTCACAGCATCTCCACCTAATAAGCCAAGCACTGAAGGATCCCCTGTGGCTTTATTTATTTTCTACACTAGATTCAAAAAGAGATCAAAGCCACAACATCATCATCAACAAATTTTCCTTAAGCCGTAAGATTACAGCTGCTTTTGGTGAAATCCTTGAAAGCAGGGGACAGAACTGTTACCAGCATTTTTTAAAACCCCTCTAAGGCTGCACTGGTGGGGAGAATGCATTTGGGTAAAGTGGTGGAAAGCTGCCTCCTGATGGCAGCTATTCCTTTCCTAGGACTGAAAAAAGAGCATCCTAGGAAATCTTCCTTTTGGGAAACTGTTACAGCATAAAATACGGCATAAAATAAATCTTGAAGAGGGACTTTGCAGCTAGTAGAGTGCTGTGTAATGAGATGGCAGTCCAGGATGGGCACCTCGCTCTCTGTACAGTGCTGTTTATACATGAAGCCATCTAGTAAGATATATGTGTCCTTTAATTAAGGTCTCATGTACAGCATTAGTAGTAATGAGGGAGTATGATGAAAAGAAATGGGAAAGGAAAGAGCATTATTTACCACGCTGAGAAGCCTTCATCGTAAGGAAATGATCAGAATTTGAATTTTTATCATCTGTCACAATTTGCTGCTGCTTTAATTAAAATAACACCAAGGACGTTCATAGTGAGTCTGGCGAGATGTGCTCCCTGCTCCTAATGACTGTCAGATGGGAAGGCAAGGGGTAGGGAGAGGGCAGGGCTGCAGGAAGATCCGGAGGGAGATGGTGCCAGATGGCCAGGCTTATTTTATTAATTTAGGTCTGCATTATGGCTCCTCTTTTCTTCATTTCTCCAAAGGATGAGTTAATTTAGCGGGAATCATTTCACAGCCACAGTATGACATGTTTTAACTCTTTGGAGCCCATAGCCCAGGTCCTGACATGTGGTGCACCAGTGCATCCAGCTGCTCTCCTGAACTGGTTCCAGCTTCTCATCGTTGCAGCCGGGTAGGGCCAAGGCAGTGTTTTGAGCCATTTCTCTCTTGTTCTGGCCTCACCTGCTCAGGCAGGGGCTGTCCAGCCCACTGGGATTGATTTCCCACATGTTTAGGGTTGATCTCATATCTGCAGGACCTCCCCGTTAGCAGCAGGTAGCCTCGCTCTTCTTCCTGCAGCTCTGAGCTGCCTGGACACACAAGGATGCAAAGTGCTGAGGGAAGTGAATTTCAAAGATTTTTTTTCTGCTTCGGTTTTGTCTGGGTTCATGGTGTGCTCGGTCACTGAGGGATCTGCCGCCTCCGTGTGGCTGTTGGGAAAAGCTGCACACAACCAGGGGCAGTGATTTAGATACTACACAGATTTGGAGCGTTAGAGATTAAAAAAAGGAATATCATCTTCTGAAAATCTATTCGGCACAGTCTGAAGCAAGAAGCTCCTGAGGTTGCATTAAGAGCAGGGTTTTTAATTTCTTCCCTTTCTGTGTTCACTGTGATAACAAAGGAGCTCCAGTTATTCAGGTTGTCTGCACTATCAGTGGTTATTGGATTAGTACTAGCAACAAAATGAGCTTGTTTTTTATGACTCCATGAAAAAAAACACCAAACATATGAAGAATTTGCAGTTGCTGGATCCTTCAAAAAAGCCTGTGCCTGAATTCACTTTATGAATCGAGTCAGAAACCCATATCACATTTAGGTCATTCCTGGATTCTAGGCCAGTCTTGTGGCCAGACTAATTTTGATCACAACTCTATAGCCAGAACAAATGGCAAAGTGCATTTCCATGTACCACGAGGTAAGTGACACATACAGGAGAAAAACCTGAATTCATCCCAAAAATTTGTGGTACCTGCTGTGACAATTAAGAAACAAACCATCTCAAAATAATGCACCATGCAGAGGTTGAAACTTTGCACTATAACACAGGGAATAAGGCATAACATTTTCAGGATTCTGAAATAATACTTGGACTTTTGAAAATCTGTATCAATAATTTTCAAAACCTCTTGTATTGGGATTTGTAGGTTTTTTTACCCCAAACGATGTGAATTTGTAATTGTTTGCAGGTCCATCCCCAAGAATTTCATAGGTGTAGGAAATCTGGGCTTTGTCAGCCCAAGACTGGCAGTAAAAAGACTTGTGATGGCAAAGGTGATTTATGCTGTCACCTCCACTGGGTCTGTGGATTCAGTTCTGTGCTAATAACAAAGCTTGTGCCTTGCTGAGGAGGAAGGTGAAGGGGAGAGGTAGGGATGCCTGGGAGCCATCAGTACATTTTTGGAGAGTTTGTGGGGTAATGATGAAATAAGAGCTCTCCTGTAGTCACTGAGCACTGGCAAGAGAAACAGTGTTGAACTGTGGGTTACTGCACTGAGCTCTCCCAAGGGACATGGCCTGTGGAAAGCTGGGACTAGCAGATGGCCTGTGAGTGCCTTTGTGGTCTTAAGAGCAGCATGAGCAGGTTTGCTTGCCATGCTTTACTGTTACAGCTGTTCACAGGGAAAACCAGACTCCTGCTTCCCGGGAAGCTCAGGTTCTGTGGCAGTATGGGAATGGTGCTTGGATGGCCAGCCCAGCAGGTCGGGGGAGAGATGTTGAGGTTGCAGCATCTCATTCTGCTTCAGGTTATTCTGAAGGGCTCCATGAATGCAGTATGCTAAATATTAGGTAAAACAATCTAATAAAATATTAGATGAGATTAGCTAAAAATCTCAAGACCAAGCAGAATTTGTTCAGGCCTTCAAAATTAACTCTTTGGGCATTGGGCATGGTAAATAGACATTTTTGAGAAAAATGCATGAAATTTAGAGGCATGAATTTGACAAAAATCTCAGATTTCAAGTGCTTTTTGCAAAGCTTATCCACACTTTTAGAGCTCCGTTGTCATGTTAGGTCTTCTGGAAGCTTCCAGCTTTCCTTGCTAGCAAATATTCCCGGTCCTTCCTTGTCACTCCAAAATTGCCTGGGTAATTTTCCAGTAATTTTTTTAGAATAACTTTATGAATACTTTTTGTCCTGCCTTTACCCAGCACTTGAGTTCTGTGTTCTCACTCCTTCTGATTTACTCTCTCAATGCATCTTCATATTCAATATTATACCAGGACTAGAGATAATGAGCTCATGACTAAGACTTTAAGAATTATATGACATAAAAAATGGTATAAAAATCTATTGAATGATTTATTTAAGGATGTGAGCACATTATACCACTTATCTAATTCCCAGTACCTTCCTAAGCAGCTTTGAACACCATTTTTTAATTTCTTTGGGTTTTGAATTGCTGCTAAAACAATGAAAATGGAGAGAGCTGCTGATGAATCATCATAACAATGTTTACTTTCAACAGGGTTTTTTGCCAGAGGGTTTTAGTCAGTAACAGGGTCCCAATGGCACTGGCTTAGACCTGCAGATAAAAAAAAAAAAAAGTCTTTAGTCTTGCTATTTCCTTTGTACTGATGTTGCAGCAGCTTAAATTAAAGCTGCTACTGAGAGTAATGAACGAACCTGTTTTAGAGCTCTGTGGTTCGATGGCAGGTGAGCTTGGCAAGAGCTCACTTGGGTTTCCCTGCAGAGCCTTAGGGCTGATGTATCTCTGGGGGCAGGGGGCACAGGGACTCCCTTTGGGTACCTTGCTGCAGTGCCCGTGTTTCAGCACCCAGAATTGTTTCTTCTCACCTAAACATGGAGCAGGCAGGAGAAAGAGACAGGTGCCTCCAGAAGACCTTTTAGGGAACGTATATTAAAGCATTTGTTACTCTTACCTGCCCCACATACCCACACAGCTTTCAGTTGAAAGAGCCCACATTATACATTCAAATTAAGAAATTAGGGGTTTTCTGTAGCTGTGAAATTTAAGTGCATGGAAGATTTGTTTTCTAAGAAATAGCTAAACCTGACTTTGCACAGCAGTATCAAAAATCTTACGGATGTAGCTTGGTCCAGACTTCATTCAGAAGGAGGATACGAAATGAATCCAAAGCAAGCACAGAATCAGAAACAATATTAAATGGTTATTTCTGACATGAAAATTCAACAAAGGTCTGTTCAGTGGGATTCTCCTTTCAAGCCTTTATCCTGCATGTGGAGACTTCATTACTGATGGTGTTACACACTAGATTACCAGGCAGCCTGCAGTCAGCCCTGCAGGTATGTGACCTCCTCATTCAAAGGAGTTTGGGGCAAAATTCAAAATCTTATCACTTGGAGCCATCATTAGTTAGGTTTGCAAAAGAAGTTACAGATGGCAAGGTAAGCAAAATAAGCACTAGCTGTGGGGAAAGCCATAACTCAGGTAATCTTTTTCTGTTTGTAAACTTCAGTGGCACAAGTAACTGGTACTACTTGTCATTTAACATGTGGGGCATGACCAGAAGGTGTACTGATGTCTGACTTCTTTTCTTTCAGGATGACTTCCTGTATAGTGTCTCTGTTTTAAGTGGAATCCTTTGCACTGTCTTGGCAGTCATCAAGTTTATGCTGGGAAAGGTCCTTACAAGCAGAGCGCTGATAACTGATGGTGAGTGTGAAGCAGATCCTGCTGCATTTATAGGCTCTTCCAGGAAATGTTGTAGACACAGAGGATATAAGCAACCCCTGCTTGAGGGCAGATGTGAAAGAGGATTGAAATAAGGTGGCTGCTGGGAAACGGGAGAAAAAACCACAACTGCAGGAGTCTGTGGTACTGTGAGGTTCTTGCATTGATACCTCAACTGCAGTGGGCATGTCTGGTGGAAGTCAAACAGTTAATGTCTGGATAGTAAGCAATAACAGAGTTAGAAATAGAGCATATAGTAAATTAGGTGCTTATTAGTCAGAGGTTAGACTCCAGGGAGTGGATATACCAGTTTATATAGCTTTGGTTAAGTCACATCTGTCCTTTACTGCCTGTTCCTAGTGAACAATTTCATGCCTGCAGTTAAAAGTCAAGCAAGTCTGTGATGGAAAATGCTGCCTTGCTCAAGCAGGAACCATAACCACCATTGATATATCCCCCCCTGTAGACATAATTTGCCCCTGCTGTGCCTTTCCTGCCATGCTGAATCCTTAGAAGACCTCACTGCCACCACTCAGGTGTGGAGTGTCTGACTGTTGCTGTGCTTTAAAGGCAAGTTCAGATATGCCTCCTACTGACAGGGTTCAAGCTTGTGCATCTTTAAAAAGCCACTGGGATCTACTCTGTAAATAAGTCAGGTCACAGTGATGGCAGAGATTGCACAGCACCCTACAGATCTCTACCAGACTTTATCTGCCAAGCACAGGGCAGTTTGAAATGCTCTGTAAACATACACAGTAGGGTGTTAATGATTCATGGATTGTGGTACATAAATTATTTTACTCCACTAAAGATTTCACTGTAAGGAAACTCAATTTTCAGCTTCCTTTAGGGACATTCCATTACTTTAAGTAATTTAAATATACCCAGCATTTCTTTGGTGATGCTTGATAACACATATTATGAGTATTTGTAGCGTCCTGTTTATATAAATACTTCATGAGTATTTATATTTTAAATACAAAATAAGCAAAAAAAAGAATGAAAACAGCAGTGCAGGGGCTATGACTAAGCTACTGCCTCCCTACAGTTGTGGTTTTCTCCCAACAGACCACGCTGGTTTGTCATCTTAGTCTTTACTATGGACTCTGCCACTCTAGGTGTTCTGAAACAAAAAGAGCTCCAGACCAGTGAGCCTGGCTGACTTTGCTGTCAGAGTGGAAGTAGGACATGCTGACCATTTCAGAACTGTGTCAAGGAGGGCAAATTATTAACTCCCTCTTTAAAAAATGTAGCTTGATTTTAAAACAAGGCAGGTTTTTTCAGACCAAGTCTTAACTGAAAACTTCCCCAATAACTCTAGCTCTGAATTGCTCTCCTGTATGACATAGAAATATCTTCCCCCCCTAATTACATCCTTGTAATTATATTACTTGTGAGCTGGAGATTGCTCATTCTTTGATTAAAAAAAATAGCTAATTAAGTATACAATTACCTTGGTCTGTTTTCTATCTCTTTTATCTCCTTCACAACTACTTTAGAAAATGTTGGAGGCTGATCTTACTGTGTTTGGTTAAATATCTTCTTTCAGAAGATACATTTAAATATATACTTTATTAACAATCAGGAGGAGATAATGTGATTCAGCAGCTAAGATAGATTTAGCACTCCCTTGCACATCTTTTTTTAGTGTTTTCTGTTTCCTGCTAATTTACCTCCTGTGATCTCTGGCTGTAGACCAACAAATTGTTTTGAGTAACAAGAGCATACATTTTTCTTCCTAAAAAATAGGTTTATTTTCAGAACAGAAAATTTACCCTCATACATCTCAATATTAACATTTTTTTAAAGAACATTTTTGGTTTAGAGTAGAGCTTGTCAAAAAAAGTCTAAATGAGGAAGGAAAATGTTATTTGTACAAATTGTTTCTAGCAAAAGCTTGTGGCTTTTTGGGTAATAGAGCCAGCAATTTCCTCTTTTGACTTCTGCAACATCTGGAGGACAAATGCAGGTATGTGACAGGTGATGTCAGACAGCTTTTCTGTAGGTTTTAGATACCTGTTTCCTTCCCAGATTTAGCCACCTTTGTTTTTCCTGTGCTAGCCCTAGGCACAGAACATAGTATCTGGATTAATACCTGCAGCCATGGCAGGGCTCCCTGCCCCACCAGCAAAGAAAAGTCTAACCAAATGACAGTCAGGAAGTGAAGACTATTTCCTTTGAAAGTAGCTTTTAGATAATTTGTAGCCACCAGCCAGTAATGACAAGAAAATGTGTTATTCCTGCCTTTTGCATATTGTGCTGATGGATTCAGACTTAAGCTGCAGCACAGGAAATAACAGTGGTTTAAATTTATAGTTAATTGATACTTAATATTCTCTCTATATAAACACAATATATATATATTTCTCTCAACATGTCTTAGCAGTGTAAGTTACATTGCCTGGGAATAAAATAGTCTCAGGATTTTTCTAGACAAAAATTTTCTAGAGTAATTCTGTCTATGTTGGTTTATCTGTCCTGGTATAATTAACCCAAAGATCAGGCATTTACATGCAGTGGCTGTGATACCAATTGCAGGATGCACTGCCACAGTCCAGAACTACCCCCAGCCTCTTCTCTTGGTGAGGCTGAGACCTTCACATGCCCCACATCCTGCCACAGGCTGGCTAATGTAACACATGCCAGGGTAATTGTCTGTGCCAGGGTTCACTTTGTATTTAAGTACCTAATGACAGGGACTGGGGGAATCTTAATCACAGTTTTGATGGCTTGTAGTTATTTCAGCTGCAGGGATACCGAAGAAAGGTCAGGTTTTGGCTGCATCTTTCAGAAAGACTTAACATGATTTCAGTATGGGCTGGCTGTGAGAGGTCTGGATCAAAGGAGATGTTCAGGAATTAAGTGTCAGCTGCTTGTTGGCAGTCACAGGGAACTGGAAAAAACTGGCTAGGTATTGTAACAAGTGGCTGACTTGACTGACTGAGCCATACAGAATATTTTAAGCTTGGCTGATTTTTCATTTGCCAACTAGGTAAATATTATATGTATCTATCAAATTAATTATCAGTGATGTGTGTTTTTTGTCCAACAACAGTGAAGCCTTTTGAGTTAGTGAGAAAAAAAAGCAGAAAAAGGCAATATGGGGAAAAGAAAAAAAGAATAATATAAGCAATGACTTAAAAAACACCCTGAAACAATAACCACTCAAAGGAGAGTTGAAGGAAAAGTGGCATTAGTGATTCCAAAATCTCTGGAATAATTTTGAAGGGACAGTGTTGGAAACAAAGGCAATGGGTTTAAAAAGCAAAGAGGAATCTAAAAGGATGTTCATACAAATTGTGAATAATAGACAGGATATGTCTAAGGCATAAAGGGAAAATTTTCCTTGTATTATTCTGCATGTCTTCCCTAATGCATTCAACAGTGCATGCAGCTTTAAGCTATAGTGCCAAATACATGCACATAAATATACGGAATGGGGTAAAGTGCTTCAAGAAAAGGTCTTTGACACATTGCTGTGCAAAACAATTTTCCCTTTCATGAGCTCCTTGGGGGTACTGGGCCCCAGTTTGCTCTTTTTCAGAGACAGTGAGAGCCTTTGGGTACCTTTCCAAGTGGCCTTTGAAGTTCTGATGGGGGCATGTTTGTACATGCAGCTGTGGTACCAGTACAATGACCACTGTGTATCATCTGCCAGGGTTTGTGTCCTCTCTGGTGGCAGTGGTGTCACACACCTTGTCTCCCTATGGATGGCCTCTTCTTAGGTGAGATGGTTAAAGCAAATTCCTTGAGCTTTGGTTCTTCCTTTAATTATTGTGGGTTTTTTTTCCCCCTTCTAGGCTTCAACTCTCTTGTAGGTGGAATAATGGGATTTTCCATCCTTCTTAGTGCAGAAGTTTTTAAACACAATTCTTCTGTCTGGTACCTGGATGGCAGTATAGGAGTTTTAATTGGACTTACAATATTTGCCTATGGAATCAAGTGAGTATCTCCTGCTGGCAGGTGTTTCAGCCTCTACAGCAGATGGTCTGTCTGTCTAATGTAGTAACGAGCCAGAGATCTTAAAGGCCTATATAGAATATAGTAGAACCAGTTGCTGGAATTTATTAGACTATCTGCCAATACTAAAGCAGAGAGTGTGGAAAGAGATAAAAGATGGTGTGTCTCACATTAGTTGGAAAGCCAGGGCTTAGAAAGAAACTGGAATAATTCTAGAAGGCATTTGTTTACCTGAATTTGGAAATACAAGGTTTTGTAGTTATTTTTCAAATATTTCAATCTTGTAAAAAAATAAGTCCCTGTTGCTTTTATGGCACCTTCTGGGCACTGGGTTTTTTCCAAAGAAAGTCTATGTTAATGGTAAGGTGCCCAAATTTAAAGAATGACCTTGGAAGTGATTTCCATCCTAGCCCTACCCTCTAGCAACTTGTGAGCTGCAGGTGAGCCAGTCATGCTTCAAGTGTCATTGCTATTGAATTTTAAGATGCTTTTTTGATTCACAACACCAGAAATAGCATAAAATCAAATGAGGCTCTGCTGTGTGCTTCATTCCTGCCACGATCTCCCTTAGATTCCATGCAGCTAAGGGGTTTGCAGTTTATCCCCCTTTTTGCCATAAGAGAAAAGTGGAGATGTAGCACCTCAGTTAACTGGAATGGTGCCTGTTGAGAAGCAGAGCTTGGCCAGGCTGCAGGAAGCTGTCAGCTGGAAACTCTGTGGGGTTGGTATTTTTTTTAGCTTGGAAAATTAAATTAACATTTTAATGTCGAACACCATTCTTGGAAAAATCACTCTAACCTCTGTTTCCATTGTAAAATGGCTGTTCTGGAAAACTGTAGAGGCAAATCCATACAAAAGTATTTATTTCAACTTAGCAAACAGCATCAGAAAGGTTTTGTACAGCCCCTACTCGTGCTTGACAGTGCTCACCCCTTGTGTTACCACCAGCCAGTGATGGATAACACAAAATCCTGTGTTGGCAACTGCCTGATTGTACAGTTTGTGAAACTGCTGCAGTTCTTCTCTGCTGTTGGACACCTTCTTCCAGCAGCAGCCTGGTGTGAAGCAGGTTGCCACAACAGTCCCTTTTCCCCTAATCCCTGCACAGTTTCTCCAGCCAAAAGGGAATGCTGCCTGCACGTCAGCCTCTCTCTGCAGCTGAGCAGCCAAACTTCCAAAAGCAGAGCCTGGCTTCACACAGTTTGTTTTACCCTCCCTTTCGGGCAAAAATTAATGGTGGGGTGGAATTGATTTTGATCAGAAGACAGGATAAGGCTTATTTTTTTAATTGATAAATTCATACTTGTAAGTGACTAGCACAGCCCAGTGCCAGGGCTTTCCTTCCTGCCCCTCCACCAACACTCTGCTCTCCTCTGCAGGTTGCTCATCGACATGATCCCCCGCGTCAGGCAAACACGCCACTATGAAATGTTTGAGTGAGGATCCCAGCTCTTCTTCCTCCCCAAGGACTGTGCCACTGCAGCACCCTGTGGTTTGGCAGGTGCTGCCAATGGTCTTTTACTAACTGCTCAGTTTGTTTCCCTGTGGTCTGTTTTTGTTTGTTTTAAAAGGGAAATCTCTCTGTAAACCTGGCACTTGTGCACACTGCTTGCAGTTCAGCCAAACAGCAGCATTTATTATTTTTTTTCAGGTATGCTATTGATTCCTGTGACAATAGAAAACATGCAGTTCACAGTTTTCACCCAGGTGCCATGTTGTGTATTCCAGAGTGAAAGTGTTCTTAATGGTGTGATAAGCCTGTGGGTAAAGAAGTGTGAGTTTCAGAGCTTGTTCTTTCTGTTCGTGGGTTTTTTTTTTTGTTTCCCTCTGGCCTGTATTTTCCCCAACACAAGCTGTAACAGCAGTACAATCCTTGCTGACCTCTTCGGCCAACAGTATCCTACATGGAGTATGGACACCTAGAGCTGTGTTGCTTAAAGCTACTTCAGTAGCTACTGCCTCCCCCTCCTTCGAATGGATGCACAGAAAGAGCAGGTGCAACCCTTTCTGTCATCAGAGAGATACTTCATTTTAATCCTGATTCAACTCAAACTATACCTCTTCCATTTAAATTGTTGGTTTTTTTCTTAATGAGACACTGTTTGTAGCTTTGCATGGACCAAACAAGCAGACACAGTATTAACTGTACAGACCAAAGCCAAAAAAGTTGTGCAAGGAAGAGGAGCTGCCTGAGGAATGGAATTCTCATCTTCTGTTGTACTGTACGCAGGTGTAGCAGCATGTGTGACTTTGTGGTTGCTCTCTAGTCTGATGGTGGCACAGCAGTGGCTCGAGCTGGTGGTGAGATACAGATCTATTTATTAGATTTAGATTGTCCTGTAAAGTGTTGCTCACCTTCCATCACACGTCTTATATATTAATTAATCGCAAGTTAAATTATCAAAGAATCTTGATGTATAATCAATAAAACTGGTATCTATTTTATACAGTATCTGTAAGTAACATTTGAAAACTATTTCCAGAATGTATCATAGAACAAAGTCTTCCTGTATAGCAGCCTATTAAATTGGATTATCTGGCTGTTTCCATTTCCTCTTTATTTTAAATATTCCAGGTTGGTTTTCACAACACAGAACCAATATTGTTGCTTCTGTTTATCACAGGTGGATTAAAAAAATAAGAGTCTGCTGTTGAGTTTGAAATAGGAACAGGGTAAGTAGCCAAGTATGTGACAACAGAGAACATGAACTAGAGTAACTGCTAAGTTAGACTGTTCAGTGATTGATATACAGTGGAGATACAGACTTTTTTTTTTTTTTACTGCTGCCTTGTGATGCTGAACCTGTATTTTCCATCCTCTGTCACTCAGCAAGTTCTCAGCCACATCCACTAAGGATCTTTTCTAAGAGCCAACTCCATATGGTATGTGTAGCAAAAGACCACCCAAAGGTTTCCCTGACCTGACAGTGCCTGTACAACAAGGTGCACAATACTGGAAAGATGACAGATTGGGAAGGGTCTTCATGGCAAAATGAATTTTGTTCTGCTGCTATAGGTTGTTTACACCTATTTTAGATCAGTTAAGTATTTGTATACTTTATAATGTAAAGTATTTGTAAACTTTATAATGTTGTTGCTATCAGTGCTGCTGCTGTGTCTGCCTTGCTGTCACAGGACAATGAGATCATGTCACTTAGCAGCAAGATGAAGGAAAAACAAGGCTTGACAAGACAAAGGAGGTACTTGGTCAATGCATTCAGTGAGGACTCCAGAAAGACTGCAGAGTGTAAGAGTCATCACCATACTCTTCACAGGTGGATTTTTAAATATCAAATGCCATGGCAAGACCCTTTCTTCCTGCACAGGTTCTTAAATTTGTTACGGTTTTGCTTGGTCCTGATATTTTTCCATTATGCTTCTTCTCTAACCCATAGTTCCACAAAGTGAGCGGTGGAACAGTTACTTCCCCACTGATGATATTATTATTATTATTATTATTATTATTATTATTATTATTATTATTATTATTATTATTATTATTTCCCCTTTTGTCAAGGGTCTTCAGCCTCAGCAATACAGAACCAGAGCCTGAACATGGCTTTAGTAGACATTTCATGTGGGTTTTTTTTTTAGTGTTACTAGTACTGTTTACCCTCTTCTGCCTCTCCAGGGGCTTCATTACTTCTCCAGACCCATTGTTAGTTGGGACAATGACACTTGGGAACTACCTGAAGTGCTGCCTGTTTGCAGCAGAGGCCAAGGCCAGCTGCTGCTGCTGGGAGGTGAGCAGGTGTAACTGGCTAAGGCAAGATAATTCCTGACATAACCTTTGTAACCCAGAAGTCCTAGACCATTGCAAGTATGTATGACAGCCAAACCAACACCTAACTTAAACATGAAATAATGCTGTTAAAATCCTGAGTATCAATAGGAGCACAAGACTATGCAGATGTGTCCATGCATGAAGCAAAGCTCAACACTGAGTAAATGAATGTTTACACTTATTTCTGGAACACTTGGAGGATTTAGGCCCATTTCAGTCCTAGCAATAGCAGGTAAGCCATAAATAAGCACCATCCAACCAGGGGGCAAAAATAGAGCCTCAAAAGCAGCTCCTTGCTGAAAATGCTGGTCCCGAAATGGACCTGAAGCAATGACCTGACACAAAAAGCTCCTCACACATGCAAATTCAGCTCTAGTTAGATCTGCATCCATCAATTTACCACAGAGCTGCTCATCCCCAATGCTGCCATTTGCATTTCTGCAACCCCAGCTGCCTGGAACAAGCACAGCCATTGCTGGCATTCTTTTAGTGTGGGCCAGCTCCAGGAGATGCTAGGGTACCACACAGGTATTAAGCCATAATAGACGAAGCACAATGCTTGTTCCCACCCTGGCAATGGCTTTTCCCAAGACAGTCAAATTTATACTTAAGAAGTGTCTTCACTACAGATTTCAAGTCTCTGAGGATAGAGGTTTGAATAGAGGGCCACAACAGCAGCAAGCTGCCTCTGCAGCATCAGAGAGGAGATGCTGAGGCTGCTTGACCAGAGCTTATCCCTAGGGCTGGGCTCACAGCACCTGTAACTTTACCACTGCTCTGAAGAGCCTGCTGCTAGTCTGCCTTAGGCGCACTGCCACCAAGTGGTGCTGTGACAAAGCTGATTGCCGAGCCTGTGCTGTGTTTACCGAGTACCAGTAACTAGGCAGGAGCAGGACAACACATTCCTGTGGCCTGGCATGCGGGGCCAGGTTACGCAACTGGCGAGTGTAATTAAATCAAATAGACAACCCAGGGATAGTTCCCTCTCCTGTTCCTCCTGTGTTTGGGAGCAGATGTTTTTCGTTCAGCCACCATATCATGCTGTAGTTTGAGGCTGAACTGGAGTTTGTCAGTGTTACCTGTTGGGTGCTACTCACCATTCAGCAGGCTCCTCCAGCAGCCTCCAGCCTGCTTGAAGGAAGAGGAGCAGAACCCCGGTGGGTGCAGGGCCAGCTGGGACTGACACATGGATGCAGGGAGGCTGAAAGAACATTTTATCCAAATCCTGCACAGCAGGGCTACTCTTGTGCCTGTCAGTTTAGCAAGTAAGTGGTAACATTCCATTTTGTCAGCTAATGCTGTTGCCACCAGCCCTGGTATTCCAAGTGGGCTTTGTCACCTCACTACAGAGCAAGGAGTAAAGACAACACCTATTCTAAAATGTCCAAGTGGCAACAAATATCCACTTCCTTTTACTGGGGCTGACCCAGCAAGAGTCCAAGCCTGCGGTGTGGCCTTGGGCAAATCACTTGAATTCCTCCCTCCTGCCAAGGCAGGGAGAAAATTAAATCTAAGAGGGGTTTCCAGCTTTTACTCCAAAGATCTACTGTACCAATTACTTACATGTCAGGTAGCTGTTGTTACTTGCTGAACCACCAGAGCCTCCCACCTGGGTACACGTTCTTTAGAGACGGTGTTAACGTTTCAGCAGTGTCTGTCCAACACTTTTTAATGTTTCCCTTCCCACAGATGTGCTCCTCACAAACGTGCACGAGGCAGATGCCTTCAGCCAGCCAGCAGTCCTGCAGGAAGGCCCCTGGGAGGAAAGGCCTCCACAAGACAAAGCAGGACATACAAGTGAGATTTAACAGCCAGAGTCTGGCCGGTGCAAACGAGATTCAGTTTTTGGCACCACAGATTTACTACCAGGATTTTAGTTAAACTAAATATCTCTATTCAGTAAAATAATAAGCCATGTGAGTCCTGACAAGGATAAAGAGGGGGCACTGCAAGGCAGTGACCTGGGATGCTCTGTCTCTTGCACGAAGTGTGGGTGTGAGGTGAGGCTTCTGAGAGCTGCACCATCTCCCAGCAAAATGTTACCATCTGTGGACTCTATACCAGATGGAGTTTGACTGAATCCAGTCTTAAGTGTGTGAGAGTTGAACTGTTTAGTATTTAAGCTCCCTCAGTGATCTTTCCAGTACAGCTGCATGGTGTATTTTTTTATTCCACGTTCCAATTTTTATACATTTTTTTTCCATTATGTGACTGCAACACAGCCCACATCTGACTCAAGCTTCTCACCATTTTACAGATGTCTCCTTATAATGACAAAGCCAAACAATAATTAGGGGAACGAAACAGGAAGGAACACGTTTCCGAAAATAACCAGAACACGGGACTGAATGAGCAGTGTCCTCCACTAACTCATTTTGATGTCAGGAAACATTTGGGAATTGTGCTATGTTCAATAGCAACACAGAACCAACAACAATTTTACCCATTTTAATCTGAGATTAAGTATCCCAAGGAAATACCCATAAAAAGAGGCAACTGGTGAAGGATATTCACTTACTTCACCTCACTGGAACAGTATTAAAAGGCTCTTGCAGAAGCACAGCCAGCAGTGCACAGACAACCATCATGTGTAGCCACAATGCTCTCAACGCCCTAATCCCAGCAGTGAATAGATCATCCAACTGGATATTCAATC